ATAGAAGCTTGCTGTTCAATTCTTTGAATTTATCTTGAATTTTTGATGGAGATAAGTGATTTGTTGCTTAGGGATGTAATGGCACCTGAAATATGGAGGAGAAAAAGAAAGATTCTCAAAAGCATTCTGAGATTCTCAGAGCAAAATCAAGTTTTCATGTAAGAAACTCTAATGTCATAAGCTGGTGACCTATGGTCATATCCAGTTAAATGATTTGCTGCCTTGTTAGAAGTTTTAAAACTATTTGAACCATATGCAGATTTCATATAAAATCCAAATTTTAGCTCTACCTGACAAATCTGGCAATACCAAGCTCACATTCCTGCATAGCAAAACTGTGCTAGGGCTGGAAAGTGATATCCCAGTTCCGTAAGCATGTGCTCTCAAATTTGTAGGTCCTTACTACTGCTCCTCCCCTCCCTTTTTTAAACCTTACCTGCCTAGACATTAAAGTTATGTGACTTTCCAACTACAGTAAAATATAGAGCCACTGCAATATATTATATCCCAAACTATCTTATTTTTAAATTTTTAGTGGGCACTGATTATCTTTTTTTTTTTTTTGAGGTGTTGGGGGGTGTTTAACTACGGTTGTTCAGGTTGGTACTGAAATCCTTCCTCATTTCAAGCAAATCTCCTCACTTAGCCTTCCAAGTAGCTGGGATTACAGGTACAAACCACTGTGCCTGGCCTAGTGGGCACTGAGAAACAAAAATACTCTGGGATCTAAAGGAGGTACCAGGAGCAATACTATTTATATAAAGCACATTAAGGGAATTTTTCTCTTGTGAATATTTATTGTTAGTTCCTTTGAAGAAAATTCAGTCTGCTTAGTGCATGTTGTAAATGGGCAAAGCAGGAATGGTAGGAATAATAACAACAAAACTTTTGTCAGAGTCAGACTTTGGGACAGGAGTCCCCTGTGTTTCTCCTTTGCTAGTAAAGCAATAAAACTTCTTTTTCCTTTTTCTCAAAACCATGCACTCATTATTTAAATTAGCATTGGGGACAGGGACCGAACTTTCGGTTACAAATATTGGCGAACCAGATGGGACCCCAGAGCAGCCCCTGCTCAGCTTTCTTAGGCAGGCCTGGCACTCCAAGCAACTATAGTTCCATGCCGAGGATGTAAGGTGAACTTTTTGAGAGCTGACTACTGTAAAGTTAAGAAATGGGTGAATATGCCTGGGGTTGAACTGAACCAGAAAAGCTCTTCCTGTAAGTAGAGGGAGGGACTGAGGGACACTCAGCAGCTGCCGAAGCCCCTTCTGCTTAGAGGAACTCCCGCCTTCCTTCCCTGCACTGTAAGGATTGCTCCACCTCATTCTACTTTGAGGAAAAAGGAAACTGAATACAGTAAAGTCATGACATGTTGGCCATTTGATAAGCTCCCGCGGTGTGCACACAGAGACCCTTGATTCTACACTTCTGGTTCCCCTTTGTGGGAGCATCTGGTCCCCTTGTGGGGACATCTGTGGCATCACTGGTGTAGAAGTCATGGTTAAGTGGGAGTTGGGAACTTAAGGAGATTTTTTTTCCCCTATCTGGTCTGTTTTAAAGGTTCCCATCTGTTGGCCATGGTTTGGGGATCCTCTCTATCATTATGTTTTTTGTTTGTTTGTTTGTTTGTATCTTTTTCTGGCCCTTTAAGACAGTGTGTTGATCCTATAGATTGTTTCTTCAGAACGATCTTGGTTTAATGGGCCACCTATAGATGTAAATGTGTCTAAGAAAAAGATGATGTTTTACTGTTTTTTTTTTTTTTTTTTTTAAAAAAAACAACCCAACCAAAAAAACTCTTTTGTCTTATCCAAGACTTAAGGTTGACCGACAAATGAATTTTCAAAAGCATAGCAGATTTTTGGATATAAATTGAGAAAAAGGTGAAAGGGGGAGCCCAGAAAGAACATGTTTTTCAGCAAAGTAGTAACACTCCCTCAAGCAACTGCCCATACGTTAGCAGAGTGCTTAATGGATTGATAATGTTCATCTGGAGATGCCAAGTAACATCATATGTCATAGAGTTGGAGTCCATAGTATTTTCTTTTCTATCTGGAATCTGCTGGTAGAAAATGTTATAACATGGTAATTTGGTTAATTAATTCAGACTCAAGCGAATAAAATGTGTGGGGTCTAGTGTCTGAAATATGTCTAGGCCTCAGAATGGGAACTGGTGTGGGAGAATTTGAATGATGCTTTTGGCTCTGGTATACTCCAGTAGCAGACAGTACTATAAAGTTAGTAGAAAATGACATATCCTACTTAATACAAAATGCCTTTTTCTAATGACCTCTCCTAGGCTTCAAAATTCAGTACTAGACAGAAGTCTTAAGAATACTGGCAATTAATCTTTAGAAAAAGTATTTGCTTAGTACTTGAAATAGTTAGCTATTTCAATAGTATGCAAGCAAAGAGAATTGTACACACGTATTCTCAAAACCTGCTCCTCAAATCATCTGCATCAAAATCCCTTGGACTATTATTAAAAATATATATTTTTCTCAAGCTCTCCAGAAATCAGAATTACTGAATCAGAATCTTTGATTTTTAATTAGATTCTTCATAATTAAACTTGGAGAACTATCTTAGATTTAGTAATATACTCAGTAAATATTTAATGCCTACTATATGCCCATATTGGACTACTTTAGAAGTTACTAATAACTATCATACTCTGACCACATTCCATGTGCTATAAACCAAGCTAATGCATTTTACATATGTTTGAATTAACTCTGTTCAACAATATAAGAGATTTTAAGGCTCTATTTTATAGATAATAAAGAGAATGAATAAACTGTTCAGGGTCACCCAGCCAGTGAATATAATCCTGTTCCTGAAACCCAGATCTGATTCTAAATTGTCTCTATAGTTTGATATATTATTTTCTGTTTCTTGAATCCAGAGTCAGCTAAAATTTTATTATATAACTGGGCATGATGGCAAGTGCCTGTAATCCCAGCTACTTGGGAAGCTGAGGCAGAAGGACTGCTTTAGCCCTGGAGTTTAAGATCAGCCAAGGCAAAACAGTACTGTCTCAAAAACAAAACAAAAATTTTTCATAGTCCCACATGAACAAATTTCCTTCTACCTAAGAAAGCAACTGATCAAGTGCATTATTTTAAATTTCAATATGATGGGTAAAAACATTCAATATTAATCTAACAGATTTTGCCCTCTCAGACTATTTTCTTGGGCTTTAGTGCACTTTCCTCCTTTCACTCATCTTTCAAGATGAAATACAAGTCTAGGGTAGACTTGTATTCAGAAAAGAAACCTGACAGTCATGGGAGTTCTCTTCTTATGATTATGAAGTAAATTCCACTAATAACACACTCTCCATTGGATAGAATGTTCCTAATGAACCAAGTGTTAAGTATAATCTTGATGTTGCAATTTTTAATAGGCTCTGCTTAATGGTACCAAAAGCTATCACAAAAAACACTAGGACCAATTAAAACTTGCAAGAGAATTTTTCAGGAGGAAAAATAATATTGCCTAAATTGGATCATGGCCAGATGGGCAACAGTTGCTTTGGTATCTGCATTGATAACATCAAGATTCATCTGTATTTGAATTACAGGGCCCACACATCTTTCAACAGTAGTCTGCCAGAAGTTGAAACTCATGAAACTATGCTGACATCAGTACACTTTGCTGCAGATTACAATACATCAGCTCCAAGTAGAGGCAAAGTAGCAGCAACTTTTATTAAATGTAGGCAGTCTAGGTTGCCAGCTGAAATCACTAACTTATTCATACACAGGAGGATTAAATGCCAAATTCTTTATGTGCTAAGTAGGATGGATTTAACAGCAACTAACGACAATGGTATATGTAGTACAGCTGAGAAAGTTTAATCATGATTGGAAAAATATGAATACTGTCTGGTATTCCTGCAAAAAATGTTAAACTTAAGCCTCTGGGTTAATTTTGTTATTAAGAAATAACAAAAAAAGAGACGTCTTTAAAAACAAACAAACAAACAAAACCCAACAAACCACTTTGGCTCAAACACTTAAAAATATTATTATTCTCAGGGAGAAGAAGCATGGGGGTCAGTTCTAAATTAAGATTAAAGAGTGCTAATAACCAAATACAAGGCACAAATCTTTACTGGATTCTGATTTTAGGAGACAGGAGATGAAGAGAAGGTATAAAAAATATTGCATCAATTGGGGAAATTTGCACACATTACATTTTAAATATTACAGAATTATTAGTTTCCTTAGCTGTAATAATGACATTGTATTTTGAAGGATAACTACTACTTGTCGGAAATCTTAGGGGTGCCTACCTAAAAATAAATGTCTGCAACTTAGATCCAAACAGTTCAGCAATAATAAAATAGTATCTGAGGAGGGATGAAATAAATATGTCAAAATATTAATTACTGAATAAGTGAAGGGAATACGAATGTTTATTATACATTCTTTTAGTTTTTAAATGTATGCACTTTTTTATGATAAAACATTTGGGAAAAAATCATACTGATAAGACTTCAAAGGGGAAACCAAAGTGTAAGTTAAATAACAGAGACTACGCAGAATTTGTAATAAATAGAGAAAACAGAAAGCTTGGTTAGCAGTGTCTTGGGCATTTTGGAGACACCCAACATATCCAATCATTTTCTAAGTATCAAAGTAGTATATGCTGGGTGAAATAATAGGCTGATGAATCTGACAAAACCATTCTATTTAGGTAACACATGGTAGTGAAGTTAAAAACAGTGATGGGCATAAAGATGTACAAAAAGTGCTTAGATAAGTTCAAAGAAAATTACTTCCTGTTGGGAAGAATCTGGAAACACATCTCTAAGGATAATAGAATCATGGATGCTCAATCCAAAAGGTCATTGCTACAACAATAATTAACCTCAAAAGAAACATGATTAGTTCATTGTGGCTGAAGCATGAGTACTAAGGAGGGAGAAATGAGGTAAAAGAGGGCAGATTTGCACTCGTTGTGGACTAGCTAGATACAATCAATTTTCAATTTACCTGAAAGTTCTGGTCGTTTTCTTGCTGTTACAGCATTCAATCTGGTAATATCAAGATGTCGGAGTTCTTGACTGAAGCCTACGGAAGGAACTACATAATATAATGTCAAGATTAGCCTTGTAAAAGTCATAGGATAATTTTACGAATATTCACGAGCATTAAGTTGTTTAACATATAGTAAACTCACAGGATTAGGGCAGCATATCTTTATCCAGAACTTCAGTTAAAGCTTACAAAGAAACAAGAGACAAGAAAAAGAAAGTAAAATTAGAAGGGGACAAGGGACGAGGAAATAAGACTTAGAAGTCTTGCCGTGGTGCTGGGGAAATCATCTTTTTTACAGCTGGGAGTGGAAAATGACTTCCTCAGCTCCCGAATTCTCCATTCTCCAAAGATGAGGGAATGGAATTACCATACTTAATAGAAAAGAGGGGGCGTGGTCAGGAGTTCCAATTTGTTCCAGCCGTCCCCACACCCCAGCTCCGCTGTACAGTCCGCGCTCTAACCCGGTTGGGGCCCTCCGGCCGGGCAACTTGAGCTAGGATTAGGCGATCTGTCGAGCGGTCGGGCCCCAAAGGGAACCTCAGAGGGGCGGAGGGAGGGCGGACTGCCGAGCCAGCCGGAAAGAAAACCTTCTTCCAGCGGAAGTGGCCCCGACACCCACTTACCTTCTCAGTGTTCCAATGTCCCAGGGACCGTCGACCTCAGCCATCCCTGTGGGTGGGGCCTGGGGACTCTCACCTCGCCTTGCAATTCCTGCCAAGAATAGGCACTCCTCGCGGCGTTGGGCGGTGGAAACTATTCCCACCCCTCTGCCATGACTCTACTGGGAAGTGCTAAATGCAACTTCCGGACAGGAGAGGGATTTTCGGAGCCCCAAACTGTTGTCCACCTAGGTAAGTGACCGGACGTCTCAGCAAAATAAGGTCAAGGAAACTAAATGCAGTCTTGAGTATAAATTTACTTGTCTAACATTGTCTGGTCACTTAGGGTCCGTCTTTGGGCCTACTTACAGAAGCATCCCTTCCCAGACCGTTCAGCTGTTGCCCGGGGTAACGGTGACATTAGGCGAAGGAAAAATCTACGTCATGTTGGAGACCGGAAGCCAGGAAACTTATGCTGCCATTGTCAACTATGGCTACCTTAGCTTCAACAGTAACTTCCGGTTAGGAGTCGTCTTTCTACCCTGCCGGAGGCTTACTCAGTGGCTCGACTAGCCAGCGGCGCCCAGTGGGCGGGAGACGGCGTATAGCTGTGGAGCAAAGGAAAAGGGCGGAGAGAGGGAAGCTGGCGCCAATGCCTCACTCTCATTGGGGAGTTGCAACGGTCCTGGCTCCGCCTATTTTTCTTCCCTAGCGAGTGACGGGCCCGCGCCGGAGGGGTGGGGCGGGGCGGACGGAGCAAGAGTGTGTGGAGGGGCGGGGCGAGTGGGGGAGGGGCAGGCGGGGGGCGGCGGTTGGGCAGCGTCGCTCCTAAAGAGGAGGAGGAGGAGGGAGGAAGGAGCCGAGTGAGGAGGATGGCGGAGTCGGGGCTCCTGACGGTAACCCGGGGCCGACGAGGAGGAGGGTGTCTGTTGGTCGGTTCTTCCTGCCTGCCTTCCTGTCCGTCGGGCGGTCGGGCTGGCTGTCGGTAGGGGGTAGCCCCGCGCGTCCTGACAGGCGCTAGCCGGCGCGGCCGGGGCGAGGCCCGAGGGGACGGGGCCCTGGGAGGCGCCGCCGCCGCCTCCTTCCTGGATGCTGTCGCCGAGAGTGCTGGGCCCCTGGAGCCGGCTCGCGTTCAGAGCCAGCAGACAGGGGACGGGAGCGAGAGGGTGGGCTCTGACAATGCCCCGGCCCGGCCTGCGGCGACGAGGACGGCCGGGACAGCGCCAAGGCGAGGGCGAGACGGTGCGAGGGCGCGGGCCGGGGGCGCCCAGCGGACAGTCCTGCTCCGCTGAGCTCCCTGGGCTACCGGGCCCTGGCTGCGGGCGTCTGGAGTCTTGTAAATGGCTGGCTGGGGCCTGGGTGTAGTGGTGGGGATACGGGGGGGGGGGGGGGCTCTCCTCGCCCCCTCCCCAAAGCCCAAGGCGCTCTTGCGCTCTCCTCTCTTGAAGACCCTTCGGTGAAGAGTGGTGAATAGGGTTTGGGTGTGTTGCCAGGTGAAGCCAGCGGTAGCCTCCGAAACCGCCTTGTTAAACGTGCCTGATGGCAATCTCTCCGTGATAGCTTTTCGGGGGAGAGGAAAGTAGTCAAACTCTCCAGCCCCCAGCCTCCGCCCCGGTTCCTAGCTCTTAACGCCAGAGGCTTCAGGGCAAAATCATTTTCCCCCCCAGCCCCTCCGTATCCATTGTTTTGTATCAGCCCCTCCCCCATGCTTAGGTAAAAGAATAATGACTCCAAAGCATTAATTTGGCTCCTTTATCATCAGAGGGTTTTGTTAATTGTGGAAGTATGGGTTTACAAACAGGTGGAATGAATCGGGAGTTGGAAAGATGGTGCTTTGTGTGTTTTTGATTCAGCTCTTACAGTTGGTGATTTGATTTTCTTGACTGTTAGTGTGTATCATCATGGGGGTGTTGTGAATAAAAGAGGAAGCACCGTTTTGCAACCTACCTACCCCCCAAAATATTTTCAAAGTCTCTAGGGATGCTGAAACCAAATTAGGTTGCAGATGTGGACTATTGTCTCCAGCATAACTATCAAGTCTCTTAAGTTTACACCTGTGTAATTTTGTACTCTTCATTAGAGCAGTCTGCTATCTACTCTAGGATTCTGAAAAACAGCTTCTGATACAGTAATCCCTCAGAGTATACTTCTGTAACCAAGTGATTTTTTTTTTCTTTTCTTTTCTTTTGGTCTGTCATCAACACTGACAAATAGTTTTCATTTCTTAAAGGCCTCAGTTCATTAGGGTATTAATCTCCACCTTTACCTCTCCATGCACTTATAACTATTTGTTACTATATATTTGAAGAGACTTAACTATTTATGATTTGTAACATTCAGTAAGTTTACACTTAAAATTTGATTTTTTTTTTTTTTTAAAATGAAAATCCCCCCCCCCTCCCTCCTATGTGACAATGATAGTTTTTAGGAGTGAGGTACATAAATGACTTCTCAACGTTTGGAACTTAGACTGAACATGAAAGACTTTTATACTTACTTGGATTTAAAGTACACTGTAAAATTTATTCATAGTTATGATTATTTTTGTCTGTAGTCTATCTAAATGTATAAAGTTTTTTGTCTAAGATTTGTAACTTTCAAATGGCTTAAATCTAACATTAAACTAACATAAAATTACATTCTTAATCTATTTCAAGTTATGGGCATGGCCTATCTGTAAAGGGTACTACATTTCCCTAAGGTGCTTGTTTTGTTTTGAAAAAATTACATTTTCTCAGTTGACATTTGTTCTCTCTCCTTGTTAATATGATTTTCAAGTTTCTAAATTCTTCTTTTGTTAGAAATTGTTATGGATTAAACAGTGATGTTTAAAAGATATTAATAGTTTAGAGCTGGATTACTTTTTAGGTTTTTAATTACCAATACTTCCAAAGATGGCTTCTGAATAGTTATTGGTATATTTTTTTTTTTGCCTGAGTTTACCTAAATGGATTGTGGGGGGAGGGTGAATAAAATTGGAATGTTTTGTTCAACAGGTAGTTAAATTTTGGTCATGATTGTTTATATGCTAGATTAGCATTATTATGTAATTTAATGTTTCTGGAAGTTCATTAAACAGATTAAATATAGAACTTTTCTTTTTTTTTTTTTTAAGAGACTTAACTATAAACCCTGTTGTTTCTGACAAAAAAAATGCCCTCTATATGTAGATACCAAGATACATATTTTTGGAGGGTGAATATTAAATATTAAAGTGCTTTAACAGCAGTGTATGAAAACATAAAAATCTTTGTTTATAACACATCAAGAAAACATAAAAATCAGTATGAAAACATAAAAAGTCTTTGTTTCTAACACAACAAGATGAAGCACCCAAAACAATAAAAAAGTAACTAACCAGACAAAAAGTTAACTGATAAAACCTTCAGTGAGCTCTGAGGTTTATGGCTTGGACTTGGTGCAAGAATTTTGGGATGTTTATAAAATATCAATTAAGAGGAAATTTAGATATAAAATAAATACTTTGATACTTCCTGATAAGACTGGTAAGAAATTGAAAAATATTTTGTTGTAGATGAATTAGACATTGGCTGTAATTTAGCAGTAAAGTGATACATTACTTTTATGTGATACTCAAGAAATGAGTCCTAAAAAAATATTAAGTTGGTAGACATTGTTGTTAGACCTAACTATATTTCATGCACTGTCTGCTATCCTTATATCCCCTATTTTAAGTGCTTAGTTTTGTCTTCTGATTGTTTCATTTACATGTTGCAATATATCAAAGTTGTGCCCTGTGAATCTTTTTTTTTCTCTTTTTAATATAGTAGTTAAATTTTTTGTATATTCCTACTTCCCTGTCTAAACTTGACTTTTAAAATCCTGAAAAATTTCATGGTTACAAATAACCTGTGGTATGCTTGAACTGGATATATTATGGAATGTTGTGAAATGTTCTTGCTCATCACTACAGGTTGAAGGGAAATGCATATATCTGAAAAACTTACATTCTAAAATATATAACTGCATTATTTTAAAGTAAAATAGTGTGTAATTGAACATTTCTTCCTGATTCCCAAGTTTTTAGCATAACATCTTTAATTCAACAAAGTTCAAGCATATAAAAAAATAGTCTGTAAACTTTTGTGATGTTGATAACAGGTACTTCTTGAGAAAGTATACAGTTCCCATTATCAAGATTTAAAAGAAAACTAACTAGATTTCAAACTTTATGTCTCATTATAACTTCTCTAGAGATATAACTGATTGCATAAAGTAGTGGATTCTGTGAAAGGTAAGGATTCTTTTACAAGAAAGAATGAACATACTGCTTTAGCTAAAACATTATAGGAGACCTTAAAAGAGGGAGTAGTTTGTCCCTATGTGAAATGAATCTGAAAGACTTTTTATAAGTTACTTTGGCATTCTTTCTGCTCTCCATTACTAGATAAAAGTCCTGTGATTTAAAATTAAGTAATTTCACAGCTGATAAAGATAAATTCTTTTTCTAATGTCTTGGAGGTAACATGAAAATAGCTTGTTCTGACAGTTGATTTCAGGATTTCTAGAACTTGGAGATAATTTCAGCAGTTAGATTTGGGCTTTCTGTTTTCAGTTTTGTGTTGTACAACACTTCTTCCTGCTTCCAAGATTTCCTTCGTCTTACATTTAGTCTTTAACTTTTTAATTCCATTCCATTTTTAAAAAATATTTATTTTTTAGTTGGACACAATACCTTTATTTTATTCATATATTTTTATGTGATGCTGAAGATCGAACACAGGGTCTTGCACATGTGAGGCGAGCACTCTACTGTTGAGCTACAACCCCAGCCCCATTACATTTTTTTTTTTTTTTTTTAACAACTACAGTTTCATATTCACTCATGTCATACAACTTCCATTGATTGCCATGTGTGTTTCATCCTTGGAGGATGCAGAGATAAATGTATCATATTTCCTACTTTCAGTAAGTTCAGAGTTTGTTGCATGAACTGGGGAAGTTAGTAATTATTTGTTACACGGTGGGCAAGTGCTTTAACAGCAGTGTATATTGGCAAACTCAGGTGTGTAAAGATTCAGACTGCATGTATAACTGACAGTGCTTACTGGAGGATAACCCCTGAACCAACTCTTGAGAGTAAATATGACAGATGAAGGACAGAAAAATGTTAAGGTCCATTTGGAAAATTACAGGGGAATAACTGTATCCCAGGAGCTTTATATTTTTAATATTTTTAATAGTTATTGCTTTCTTCCTAATTTAATTTTTGGACCTTGAACTGTGAATCTGTATTATTAATGAGGGGCTCTTTAAAATTATTTAGATCTTTCACCTAAGTGAATTTTTCATCAATATTTTAATTAAATCCAAGAAGAACATAATGAGCCCTGGTAATGTATGATAATTCCCACTTGGGTAATGAAGTTTTTTTTTTTTTTAATGCAACACATTGAGAGTGATATTATGAACTTCCTTAGATCTTGTGGCAAATTTTTATTATGGAAATATTTTTAAAATATTCTGAGTAAATAAATTTCTTTACTTGATAGTGCCACTCATTCTTCTTTTTTTAAAAAATATTTTTAGTTGTAGATGGACATAAT